AAGCCTATTCATACACCCATTCTAGTAAAAGATGAATTGATGAACAATGTCATATGCGCTTGCTTTTTTTTGTTGTTGTTGTTAAATGGGTAGATTGTAAGAAAATAGTATTTTCAGTTCACGAAAACATATGTATTTTTCTCAAAACAAACTAACTGGAGTTAACATTAATGTGGGAAAAAAAACCTTACCATTATTTTCCATTGTTCCATCACTTTGCAGCAACTTTAGTACAGATGTTTGTGAAAGTGCCGGCCTACTGGAAGCCATTGCCCGATTTAATTGGTCCCTGACACCTCTTCTGTTGTACATCCAAATGACCCATAGCCAGTGACGGTTTTTAGGGGTATCCTCTCCAAATAAAGAAATGGAGCGCTTTGACCAAACTGGCGACGAATACTGTTGAGAATGTTTTAGAATGTCAGCTTTTATTAGCTCTTGCACAAGAACTTCAATTCCCCCTGCATGTGCCCACACATCTCTCCTAGTCTGCATTTGTCTTTTTTTACATTTTCCCATGATGCTATGTGAATGTTACTTTGCTCTGATGACTCTTTTATAAAGTGTGTAACCTAACACACCTATCTTACAATTCATCAAGTCATTAGTGAAATTGCCACGTGATGCCAGATTAGTTAATATTCCCAAAATACGGATCTTTAAGGCTACCCAGGTGCAGATTGCAGAATATTGTTTTTTAGGATAAGCATATTTTTGGTGTTTCAAGCACTTGAACTAAACACATGTTGTTTAATACAGCAATTTATATATTGCTAACACAATAGCCCTATATTGTTGATTAGACCAAATGAAATATTAAAATACAATTGCAAGATGCACTCAAAAGGTGTAGTCTAAATTGCTCAGAGCAAAAGGTACGTAAAAACACACGACCTACAAACATACATACACACATAATGATCTTTTAAATATATTTAGCAAAATATGGTGTAAATGGCTGAAATTAAAAAACACAACTTTAACAGCATGTCTTTGTCTTAATCACATCTTAAAATCCAACACCGCACGTTTGTACCATTGCAGAAATGTATGGTATGTCCCATTGTAATTGTATCTGTCGGCTATATAATTTCACCGCAAATGCAAACCTTTTCTTGCTTTTTAAATTGCGTCTTTTGTCATTTGTCAACTGATTAAATGATCTACACTATCCTTTTCATTGTTGCTAAATATGTTTTATGGACGTTAATCGCTCAACGCGCACGACCTCCCTCACATTTTGCCGCACTAACCTCTGCGTCGAGTATAAACCAAGCCCTGAGCCGCAGTGCACTCTATTGATGGAACACGGGGCAACTTTTTGAGCAATTTTGCTGGGCAACTTTTTTTGAGCAATGTTTCTGGGGCACTTTCCTGTGATGGGTAACAAATTTCAATATGGATACTTTTGATCAGTCGTGGGTCCTGTGTCTCACCTGGTTGCCTGTTGACGGCAACATTGCTCAAATAGTTGCCCCGTGTATCATCAGCCTAAGTACACTTGAACGCCGCCATGTGTCATTTCTTGTGAAACTTCGAACCCTCTTGAAATTGAAGTATGTTACGGATCACATTTTGTCTGCTCAAAATTTAGTCAGCAAAATGCAGCAGCAAGTAAACAACACGGTTTTACACGTTTAATTCTGTCATCCATCAACACTACTTAATCATAACTGTTGTCTCGTTTAAGTAAATGTTCACCATGTTGTCCTGCAGTGGAACAACGAGTTTTCAGCACCACAAACCTGAACAGCGACCTTGGCGTAAAACATGTCAGTGTGTTTATTAATGTTTATCTGAAGTGAAAATTTGCCTGGCCTTCAGCATAGGTCTATTCAGTAAGCTTAAAGAAGGACATTGTAAACCAGTTTAAAATAACACGTGGTACCATGTGAGATGTATTGATCTCAATATGCTTAGCATTAAATTAACACTGGCAACGTTCCGCTCAGATGAAACGTTTAGTATATTCAGTAAGGATACAGAAACACGTTACAGATTTAAAAGCGTTTAAATCTGTTTCTTTTCACATTTTTAAATCTGTTTGTAAACATATAAAAAAAAAACAGTATGTGATTGGGGAGAAAAAAATACTCAAAAGGTGAAGTAATGTTGTTTGTGATCTGCAAAGGATGGGTTAAATTTTGTTTTTTGAGAAATCTATCAAAAAGTATTTTAACTTAAATGGATTCTAAAGAAATGAAACGCTAAAGGTTATTTTTCACGTTCAGCACCATGGGTGTGGGCAGTGTGTAGGCTAGTAGGCTATAAACAAACACGATTTAAAAATGAGCTTTGTCTCGTAAATCGAAAATGATCTTTTTATTTAAGTATTATATTCAGCAATGTTATTGATTAAATATAGGCTACAGACAATCTCTTCCACCATGAATGCATTGAGCTATAATATGTTTACAAAATCAGTTTAACTCATCAGAAGTTACTATAACAACAACAATTCATTTTATTTATAGGTGCCTTACATGACACTCAAAGACAACTTATAGGCAGTAAAATAAAATAAAATAAAATTGCAGGCAGAAAATGCAACGCCCATAATAAATAATTTTTTCAATGTTTTACAGCCATTAAAAGATACATATACAATATCACCGGTATACCTGCTCAAAATATAAGTTTTTAGCCGTGATTTAAAAATAAGGAGAGAGTCACTACTGCGAATGTCCTGAGGAGCAGCATAGCTAAAAGCTCGAGATCCCCTGTTAGCCATAAGAACTAAACAAAAAGAAGGACATACATGTGTTTTGTATTGCATTTCATTTATTTTTCTATCAATTTCTTTAATACAGTTTCTGTGTCATGCAAAATACAGTTATTAAGATTTGAATAGTGAACCAAATCATGTCATGCATACGTATCATGAATCCGACAGAACATGTCATGTAATTTGTAGACGGTCCCTTGGAGATCGCTGACGTCATCACCAGCCATAGAGAGCAATGTTTTATCCCGCATTTGAAAGAAAACACAGTTGTAGATTATACACCTTATTTTCCATGGCAACAATGGTGCCGCCATTGCGTTCGTTTTGTCATTTTACTTCCGGGTGAGAGGGACCTACCTAAGAGTAGTGGCTAGATAACAGAACAGAACGCAAATGTCAAGTATTATATGCTCAGTTAGGGGCTGCCATAACAATTGGATTAAGAGAAGAGAACAATTGCACCAACGATGTTACGAACACAATGTGAAGCGGTCGGAGTGTTGTGGTGCACTTTACAATTTACACCCGCCACCTAAAGAAGAGGAGCACCTGAGGCAATGGCTGAAGGCGCTAAAGTTGAAGCGCCCACCCAAGCGCCCTTATGTGTGTTCGTACCATTTCATGGACGAGAAGCCGACTGACGAACACCCTTACCCCGAGAAATGGCTCGGCTATGATGTTCCGGTAAAGAAGTCACGCCGGGTGCTGAAAAGGTCAGATTCAGGTAAACTAACGTTAACTTAGCTAGCTGTGTGCTTGTTCGCCTAACGTTAGATTTATGAAGTCCGTTCTGTGAATACATTTAAGATCAGTAATGAGCAGTTAACAAAGTACAACGAATTTTGCATGATTACCATTACCCACCTATTTATTTCATCATTACAATAGTACAAGATCCATTGCCCACCTATTTATTTCATATTTACGATAGTACAAGATATTATGGTACATTACAATAGCTCACATTATTCCTGTAAGTTACAGAGATTGCAGATGATAGCAGGCCAGCTAGCTACATTTCTCATTCAGATATTGATCTAACTTACGTTTTAACACTACAGTTAGAGCGTGTATACTGTTTTGTTTTTAATGCATCTCTCTCTCACACACATACTGTTTTAAGTATGGGTCCCATCATATATTAATTCTCATGATGTATTTTAAGTATTAATGTAAAAATGTTTAATATTATTTCCAGATGTATTGATGACCACCAGTGATGCAGTGGACAATGGTGAGGGTGATCACATCCACATGCCCCTGAACTGTGATGCAGAAACACAATGGGTTTTACTTTTACTGGAGTAATATTTTATTATACGGATCTGTACTTTTACTCAAGTACTTGATTTGTGTACTTCGTCTACCTCTGGTTACTCACCCTCTTGTATGTACACCATTTAATTTAATGATTTAAAAAAAAAGATTTTAAATCTGATTATGGGGTTTAAACTAAAGTAATTATGTTGTTTGAAGATCAAATACATGTAATTAATTAAATATTTCTTTGACTTTGAGAGATAGTTTACCCCAAAATAAGTTTTGACTAACTAAAATTGATGCCATCTCAAAATTGCTTGACTTTCTTTTGTAGGACACTGAAAGGAGAAATGATGGTCGAATAATGCATCAGAAATAAAACTGTTTGCTGTAAGTGAAGGTCTGTGTTTTTGTGTTTTAGATGGTCTGATTATGCATGGATGGATTGCTTTGTACAAGAGAAGGTAACTGAATGGCAGCTTCCAGAACTTGTAAATAGTTTTGAAGGTAAGTGTCCCTGTTATTTCCTGTTATGTCCTATTTGTCCTGTCCTTTCACCATCCAATAAAGCCATACAGGCCATTCACTATTCTTAATTATGCCATAATCTGCCTGAATACTTAATTCTGATTAGCTGGAAGTTGTGGCGTAAAACTGTTTAATGCACAGGCAGTTCAATCTCAGTTTAAGGACCGTTGTATATTAATAAAATTTCACTGAAACACGCATAAGTCATTTGCACATAGAGATTGGAGATCAACCTGTACAAACACATACAATCATTCAGGAGCACAGAAACTTTTTATCAGCACTGCCCCACGACTTGTATTAATAAAGTCACTATGATACTGAAAAGCTACATTTTATTTATGACCAACAAATAAGCTGAAGTAATTAGTAGTTTTTTTCTAAAAGAGAGAGATACTGCACACAGATGCAAGTTATTTATAGACACATCTCTCATCTTTCTCTCTCTAACAAAATCACAATTTCTCTCAGTAACTAACAAAAATAAACACAATTTTTACCCTTCCATTCAAATATTGTGCTGTAAACATTAATAACAGCTAGTTGTCATTGCTGGCAAATGATCATGGTATAAGCTAGATAATCCATGGCTAGCTGTGCATTAAACAATTTGAATGCACTCTATTTTGCTTGGGTGTTTCTTTGCCTCCACATCCTGCAATAAAATTGGATTAGTTCACTTCCAGAATAAAAATGTCCCAGTAATTTACTCACCCCCATGTCATGCAAGATGTTCATGTCTTTCTTTATTCAGTCAAAAAGAAATTAAGGTTTTTGAGGAAAATATCCCATGATTTTTCTCCATATATACAGACTTCTATGGATTGAAAGTTTAAAATGCAGTTTCAGTGCAGCTTCAAAGGGCACTACATGATCCCAGCCAAAGAATAAGAGTCTTATCTAGTGAAATGATTAGTCATTTTCTAAAAAGATTCAAATTTACAAATCTACAGTGCATATACATTTTTGCTGCGATATCCCACTTTATAATTTCAAAACCTGTGGAAATTTGTAGAATTAATCACAATACCCACAATCCTGCGCTGAAATTCAGGCCCTGTGTTCATGTGTATTGTATGTTCATACATTTTTTTTGTCTTTCCAGGAAACATGGTATGCCCAATGCCGAAATAATAGACCAGCCGCTGGGTTCACTGAAGAGAGACTGAGGAACATACGAAAGTGACTGAGGCGCTTGAGGCGACCACAAGGAGAGACAGAGGATGCACCATGCAGGACAGTCATGCCAGGTAATGGGTAGACTCAATTCTTAAAGGAGTAGTTCATGCAAAAAATAATCCCTGCAATCTCAAACTCCCATGACTCCCATGTAAAGACAAAAGGACTTATTTTGTTTATAATTCAGAAAAAAGAGGAATCCTCTCATTTCTTTAATTTGCACATTGTCAGTGGATCAACAGCAGAACTTTACACTTCAGTCTACGCTTTTATGGGATTTTGGTCTCACGCTAATTTGCCCTGTTTAGTAAATCTGGCTCTATATTCTACATTAGTTATTACTAAATGACAGCTTGCTACTGTTTTTAGTAGTGTTGATACATGTACAATTATTTTCCTACAGATGCAAAGGTAAATCTTGCACTAAAGCTGTTATCTGTTTTGCTTCCACCTCCACCCTACAAAATTGGGAGAAAAACAGTCCGGCCCAGCATTGATGAAAGAACAGTGGAGATTTGTATGCTTATGTTGATTTTATTAATAAATATGGGATAAATGCTTCAAAACGGGACTATACTACTATTACAAATTCCATTTCTCCTAAGTTGTTATTTTTAATGAAGTCTTTTAAAATATATTGTAATTTTAAGTTGATTATCCCTCGATTATTTATTCAAGGGGTTAATATTATGGATAATAAGTGTACAAACACGTTTTTTAGAAACTTTGTTACTGTTAATAATGCTTCATCTTTTAAAGCTTATGGAAAGTGGTTGGCACTTTATCCAAATGTTAATTTTCAGAAAGCATGGACAGTCCCAAACAAATTTTTATTTAATAATAAAATAAAAGAAGTTCATTTTAAAATTATGCATCATTATTACCCCTGCAACAAATATCTAAGTAAATTTATACAAAATCTTTCTCCACTCTGTTCTTTTTGCCAAGAAGAGGAAGAATCTCTTTCACATTTATTCTATTTCTGTCCTTATACTAAACAATTCTGGCTTCAAATTTCAGCATCTTTACTTCTTGTATTCTTTCGGCTATGTAACATTTCAGCAGTTAAGGTTCTCTTTCATTCTGTTGTTTCTGACAATAGGGAGCTAGAGGATGCCCTGGACTTTATTTGTATGATGGGAAAATTCCACATTCACAAAGCAAGATGCCTTAATTTTAAACCTAATTGTAAAATATTCACTTCTGATTTACTTTTGTTTTACTCATCACTTCAAAAAATCTCCTCTAATAAAAAAGCCTTAAAAACATCCAATCTTATAAAAAAATTCATAAATAAGTTGTAACTTTTATGATTGTAAAATAATTGTATATTTGTTTACCTTTTAATTGTTTTTGTATCCCCCATGTGTTTATGCATATGTTTATGTTCCTGTTCTAATAAAAAAAA